TTCCTTCCTTTTTTTTTTTTTTTTTTTCTTTTTTTTTTGCTGGGAACCGGGCCCAGCGCCCTCGTTCCTACTTGGTATGCATTTCACTTTGATTTTCTGCTTTCGACTTGGCTCGATTATGTACGGTCCTCCGTGAGATGTTGCACTCTGCTTTATTGGTGTTCACTGTTCTGATTGCATGTTTCCATGGAGCAAAAAAGAAAAACAAGTAAAGATGAACCCCTTTAAACCCCTTTAAAACCTGTTGACAGTAATTTGATACCCCCTGAACCCCCTTGGGGATGACCCATCACCAAATTGGAAGGTAAGGCCAGATTCTCACAGCTCAGGCCTGGCCTGACATCAGATTTTTTACTTTTTTTTGGGGGGGGGGGGGGGGGGGGGGGAGACCCCTGCCTCTTTTTTTGAAGCTGGCTGTGCTTATAAGGGATGCAGGACCCCGGTTTCCTGCATAGCCTAGGCTGGGGGCCCCAGTATGTTACTCAGGGTTGAATTGTGAGGTCCCGGCCTCAAATATGATTTTTGCAATATAAAAACCATCTTTCTTTTTCTAAAAAAAAAAAAAAAAAAAAAAAAAAAAAAAAAAAAATATAAAAAAAAAAAAAAAAAAAAAAAAAAAAAAAAAAAGAATTGAAGAACAAGAAAAGTGAGCAATGCAGGGTTGCAGCCCCCCTTGCTTTCCCAGATTCCCAACTCCTGGTCGTTGATCTACCCACCTGTTTCCCCCCGCATAGAACGTATAGTAATTACAGCTGCATCTAGACTGAAAGTCGCCCCAAATGCAGCTCTAATGACTGTACGTTCTATTTGAGGGAAGGTGCTAGTCAGCCATCCGAGCTCCAGAATCGGAGCAAGGGCCTCGCTCCACTACACAACACTCTACATGCATTAGGACGCTTTCTGGACCAGATACATTAGAAATGTTGGACTCGACCAAATGCATATGGTCCAGAAAGCATCACAATGCATGTAGTGTGTTGTGTAGTGGAGCGAGGCCCTACGTACGATGAAATTCGATGGCGTGGCCCCTTCCCCCCCCCCCCCCCCCCCCCTCCCGTCCAACAAAGGAGGAGGACCTCACAAGGAAACAAAAAAAAAGTTTAATAAACAAGACAAAAGGGAAAAAAGAGGGAATAACCAAGGGAGCATACCTCCATCGTAACAGGGCGGGACAGCTCCTCTGCGGGCGCGGCAACATAGTCCATAGGCAATGCCGAGGTTCGCGATGGTGGAATGAGATGGTCATCCCAAATTACTGTGTATACATCACCATCAAGATCGCTCCCTGAACACTCATTCGGGTGTGGACGAGGGCCTTTTCGTGGGAAAACCACACAGTCTATCATGTGATGCAAAGCCGGAACATCGACGGCCTTCAACACACGTACATCTCCGGGATGCAGGCACGGGTTCTTCGCGACAGCCACCACCCCCTTAAGGACTGCATGGACGCCTTGCATTGTGCCATACCGGCCAAGCTCCCTTCCGTTCTGAAGGTAATCCCTGCACATGCTATCCGCGAGATCGACATCATAAGCAGTACACGTAAGCTTGACGAACACTTGGCCATACTCCAGTGTTCCCGTCTCGTCCAGGCAACCAATCATGCACCGCCCCTTCCTAACGAAAATACGCGCTTTCTGCTGAATCTCCAAAAGGTGAGCAGCCCGGAAGGCTGCCAGCATCACCTGCAAGTGGGGCTCCGTCTTCGGATGGAAACCGGAACGAAGCATGCGGACGATCAAGTGATGCGTATCTCCCGCACTCATCGTTCTCAGCGCGGCTTCTGCGGCTAGCGGGTCGTCCAGCATGGCGTTGAGACGAGACACCATTCTCTCTTGCAGACGGGTAAATGCCTCGTCAGGTACACGCAATGTGGACAGCAAAGTGATGATCTGGCGGTTAAGAAAGCAGGGCTGAAACTTTGACCACGCTATCTGCAGCATTTCCAAGGGGAGACAGGTTTGCCAGAAACAGGGGGACCCAGGGACGGCACAGGGAAGAGAGAGAGAGAGAGAGAGAGAGAGAGAGAGAGAGAGAGAGAGAGAGAGAGAGAGAGAGAGAGAGAGAGAGAGAGAGAGAGAGAG